ATATAAGTGTTTGAGAGACAAGAGATTGATGAATGGGAGATGCATGAGGGGGGTTTTATTTACCTATATATATAATTATATTTTTTAGTGAGAAGAAGTTACAAAATATTGTGAGAGGAGGATGCATGGGGGGGGGTACCTGACAGAAGGAGACAAATCCAGAAATTTAGGTTATTTTTTGTTTTTCTAATATATTTCTTTTTCTTATAAATGTATAATTATATGGGGCCTGCTACATGGATTCATTTGAATGCCCTATTCCAGCCCCTTAACCTTAAGGCTATGTTTGGTCTGAAGGAAAATGTAAGGAAAGTAAGGACAAGGTAGGAAAACCTTTATAAACCTTATATTGGTTTTTCTGTCTTTCCCTCCCTTTTTCTTTAAACCAAACATATCCTAAATGAATTGTGAAAATTATGGACTTTGGGCAGTCAAAGCCCAAGTTTCCCGACCCAAACCCCACCTAAGTTAAACCCAGCAAGACTCGATGGGCTCTAGTTAAAACACCATAAAACAATTCTAGAATGATATTTTATAAACTTTTTCTAAAATCTTCCATAATCCTCGAACTATTTTATCATTAGTTGGTCTACGTGTATATGATTTTTTTTCAGAGCCTCTTACCAAATTTCTATTAAACCTCATGCAGTGCATGGGTTCAATTCCATTGGTTAATCAAAAGATCCATAACATGGCCACATCACCCATGGTTCAACATTTTAATAAGATTCTCTTAAACATTATTGGCTACGTGGTTAATTGGCTATGTTATTTAAGTGGGCCACAGCTGGGGATCCTCCAAGTATTGCTGCAGCGAAAGTGAACTCACATTTTTAGGTCTGTTTGGTCATGTTTCGATCCATCTTATATTTATAGTGCACGGTGTTTGGCTGTTTGTTTAATCAAATAACAAAGAAGAATTTGTTACAAGTATAACTGGGCTTCTATATAAACTGAAGCCAGAAAAAAAAAAAAAAACTGGGCTTTCATACATGGATCCGGGTTTGAAACTGGTCTATGGAACTTATTAATACGTATCGATTTCTTCCTTCTTCTTCTTCTTCTTCTTATTAATCCATCTCCATTTCCTTAATCCCCAACCCCGGTGGTAATGGGATTTAATTCCGGGTCTCTTTTTTATAATGAGTGAGAGATCGCATCAACTGAGACTCCATCAATTAGTGCACTAACTAATAATATGTGCCTAACTCAATTTTCTCATAGAGAAAAAGCTCATGGTCCGGTGCTAAGTACTAACTCTAGAAATTAGAATATCTGTAATGATGTTGAGGGTAGGAGTTGCGATTTCAGACCCAAGTTCTCTAACCCACCCAACCCACCTATTTATAACCCATCCAAACCTGCCCATTTACTTAGCGGTAGACCTGTTCATGGCAGGGTAGCCTGATGGGCCAGCCTAGTCTGGCCCGTTCTTAGTTGGGCTTGGCCCAAAACACCAGGCCTGACTCTTTTGGGCTGGACTTGTGCTTTCTCAAAAAATCACAGCTCGAGCCCAAGCCCAACCTGATAATATTTTATATAGTAAAAAATATGTTATATGTATTAATGTATAATATAATATAAGGGTCAGTTTGGTTCGCTGTCAGAAATGTAACAAAAAACCCTTGGAGTCTGAACTGGAATGGTCTATTCCCATAATATGTTTGGTCCAGACAAGAATTGGAATTGGAACAAGCTGGAATGGGATTTCATTCCCAAGGGAGGGGAGGAAATGACCATTCCCTCAAATGGGGGAATGCCATTCTAGCAGGAATGGGAATGAGATTCCAATTCTGCCCAACCTAACAATTGGAATTAGAATGACCCATTCAAGTTCTAATTCCAGATCCCTATTCTTGCAAAGAAAACGGGCCTCAATATTTTTTTCTTTGGTCCCCTTCTCTTTTCTCAAGCCATAGTGAAATCTTTCCGTATTGTTTTGGTTGTGAGGTCATTTAATAATAAATAAATCAGTTTTATTATTGTGTAAACAAACATTTTTATCAATTTCCTAGTTGGGCTTTTGGATTCGGGCTTAGGCTCGGGCCTGAATGTGTTTTGTTGATATAGAAGCAAAACCGACTTATGAACAGGTGTATTTAGTGGGTTGGAAATGGATTGAATCACCCTTTGGATCAACTTAAATGGATTGGGTTAAGTTTGGGTACCTGAGTTTATGTTTGTATATACACTCTTTAACTATTTTACTCACAAAGAAATTGCTTGCTTTGGGAGCTTTATTGTAATTTTTGAAATCCTAATTGCATTGGCTTTATATGTAAGTAATATATTTTGGGTGGATTTATTTCCAAAATTTTGGCCATTTTTTTTTGCTCAAAAAGCTGCATATAATTAAAAAAAAAAAGTATAATCAATATATAAATATAAATACACTAAACTATAAATAAAACAACCAAAGTTTAACAAAAAATTTCTATTGATTCTTCATTGACCTTCATGTGTTCTAGTGTTTATTTTCCTTTTGGTTCATTCATGAAATTGCTTGTTCAGAAAAAAAAAAGGGTTTTACCAAACACATTTAATTTGGAGGACTAATTTTCCTTGTGAAGGTGAGAAACCGATAGACAGCTTAACAAGAGCAGACCTTGGGGGTCTGTTCTCAGCATTCAATCTTGACCCATAACTCTCCAAGGGCGAAGCCAAAATTGTTACGTAGTAAAGAGTGGATTGTGGACTCAGCAGGCACCAGAAAACATGTAGGATCTGGTTGGTTAGACTCAATTTTCAGATAACTGTTGGAAAATGAAACCTTTTCCCTGTTTGGGGACAAACCGGGTTGCACTTGCATCCATCATGTATTGTCTGGTTAGTTCAGTTCACTACTCTCCAACGCCTCCATTAAAGAATGTTTATACTGGGTTCAAGCAAGTAAGAAAAAGATTAATAGAAGAATTAGAAAAGCTTGAGTTCGTGAACTGCTTCTATTGATTTTCACAGTACTGTAGCCATTAGATTGGTAAAAGAAAAGAAATCAACTCTGTTACAGTTTATAGTCATCTATCTCATATCAACACCAACCATTTTCAATTCCTATCCTCTGGTTCGAGTGTTTGTTTAAATTGCTGAAATGACATCGTAGTCATCTGTAATATAAAAGTCATTAAGAGAACCAGCTCGTGGCCCATGGTAGGAGCTTCTCTGACCGAGATTCAGTCTTGGTTGGGTGATATTAAGACATACAAATCCATCAGATTTCTGTGGATGAAAATCAAGTATAACGTGGGTGGTTTTTGTGGTGAGAATTATTAGATCGTGTCTAATTCTGGGAGCAGAGAAATCTCAATTATATAGAGAAATTACCATTACATGACAGATCAGTCTTTTGGACTGCAACTAGATTTAACAATGACAGCTTCTTAAGAGGAACACTACCACAATTTATTCAAATACCTCGTGACTCTCTCTCTCTCTCTCTCTCTCTCTCTCTCTCTCTCTCTGCTTCACATGCATCATGTGAAGTTGTCTGGTTTTCTGTTCCCGTTTCAACATTCTCATTCTTGGAACATGCACGCTGAAGTACTTCACTAAAGAAAATGACTGAAGGTTAAATTGATCTGAGTTCTTTATCTATACAAATTCATCTAATATCAATGTATTTTGGCAAAGAATTAGCTTTCACAGAGACCACACACCTGATATCAATGTAATTATAAAACCAGGTATACGTATCTGATTTGAGATTATCAACATAAGCTTATGATGAAATACCTAAATCATATGAAAACAGTCAAATGTCATCTGTTTATCCAAATTTGATCCTGTTAAGGCCAGGGTGACCCCAATCTGTTTATAATTGTATAGGCTTGTATATATTCAAATTTATATTTTATACTGGATATTGTGTTTTTTATTGAAAATTTCATTGGTTCAACTTTTATAAAATTTATTTTCAATATATTTTTGTTCATGATATTCAATATCAAAGATATTTTTGTTCATTTTATTAATAATGTATAACATTTCGATCATTTTTATTACAATTTATTAATTCTATTCAATATCTGATTGCAATCCAAATTAATTTGAATCTGATATAAATCCAATGGATAAGATTAATTCGATTCTAATCAAAATATGAATGAACCAAATTTGTATGTATCTCATATCCAATTTAACCCTACCCGATCTGTTTGCACCCCTGAATTAGCCAAATGGTCAGTCTTGACTCTTGACTACTATGAAAGAGATCTTCTCTAGGAATAATATATCAGATGGTCGTAACAATTCAATTTGAATTATGAACTTTTTATGTTGGTTCTATTTGATCATTTGAAACTGTGTTTGGCTTGAAAGGAAAAGACAGGGAGAGGAAGGACGATAGAAATTGGGTTTGAACTGTTGGGTAATAAAAACCTATTTAAGGATCTCACCCAATGGTTTAAGTTTTTAGATCAATGATTTTTTAAGATGGTATCAGAGCTTATTTGACCAAATGGTCTAGTGTTGGATCCCCTCCTATTATAATTAATTAAATTTCAACACAATTAATGAATGGATGGGCCTGTATTTGTCCACACCAAAGCAGTTACTGTAAAATCAAATCAGCCCACAAAGCCAAATTAATCTTGGGACCAAAACCACTAGCGAGTTGGGTTAGCAGCTAAGAACAAATATCCATAAAACATGATGACCATGATGCATTTGGTTATCTTGATTGGATCCAACGGTTGGACAAATTCTGGTTCTCATAAATTAATTATTATTTCATAAAGCCAAGCTCCATGCCAACCACATATTTGTTAGATATTTTTATCATTTTGGAGGAGTGGTAAATGTAATATAATATGATAAGAGAAGTACTGTAACTCAAACTTACTGTTATTCTACCTTTATTTTATTTTTCAATTTCAATTACCACACAAAACATAATTGTACATCACATTCAGCTTATATATATATACATATATATATATATATTAATAATAATAATAGTAGTAGTAGTAGCACAAAAAAACCAAAACATGGGAGAAAGATGTATATTCTTTTTCCTTTACAATTGCAGCAGGGATCTCTATATTCAGTTTTGGTTTTGAAAGATTATTACAAGAAAGAAAACCACAGGGCTCAAAAAGAAGCCATAGACCTTGTTTTGATATATCTGATCTAATATTATAAAAAGCAAAAAGGTGTAATCTGCCAAGTTTCTTTTTCCTTTTTTTTTTTTTACTGTTTGCACCTCTTGATCCATCTTCAGAAAACACAACAGAGAGATCCAAATCCAATAAACTGCTTTCTTGGAGAACCCAAGCTGAAAGATCTGTTGTTCATGGTGACATCTCTAGCTCTTTCTTCTCTCCAATATGATATGGGTTGTTTTGGGTTGGTGGGTTTTATACATATGAACCCAGGCCTCTAGCTTCTGATCCTTTCATGATTCTCAGCCTTTTGCATGAGGAGATGAACATTCTGCAAGGAGAGCAAATAACCCCATAAGCTTTATTGATTCAGAGAGAGAGAGAGAGAGAGAGAGAGAGAGACTTACTCCCATGGAACATCTCCAACCAACATCCAGTCACCGTCTTTGTCTTCATATGTAGGTGCATAGTCAGATCCATTGTAGCCTTCCCTCTCTGAGTATTGACCTGAAGAAAACAAGCAAAGGCATGATGAGAATTATATTGACCAGGGACATGCAATCATCGTATGCACTCAACATACATCAGAATACATCATCACCATGACTGTAACTCTTACCTATTGTCAACTTGAACATGATCTCCAAGGCTTTGAGTAGCTGAGGATAGCCTTTGTATCCCTTGAGGTCAATCTTCCTCAGGTAAGGAGCTCCATCCATGCTCACTTTCACGTAAATTCCAGCACTCTCAGGTTCTGTCTTCTTGGGTTGGAAGCAATTCTTCCTGTATGATCGGATTGGTGGCCACCCAACTACTTGAGCCCTGTAATTTCACATCCCCATCAGTCCATCACCTCCACATATCAAGATCATACATATATAGATAATATATTATGAATTGAATCTACGTTTCTGATGATCTAGTAAGGTATATCGATCGGAGGACTTACTTGGCTGCAGGTGGAGCTTCCTTCTCATCATCCCCGAAATCAGAGGTTCCAGAGTTACTCTTAGACCTACTATCCTCTGTAGTCTCATGAGACAAGGCCCTCTTGTTGCTCCTAACACTAGGAGGCGTGTGTTTCTCAGAATCATCTGTTCCCGGCAACCCTAGTCTGAGCTCGGTTGCCTTGAAGTTGAGATCATTCTCGCAAGTTACCTTGCTTTCCATATTCCCTTCTGGAACGAACCAGTCAAAGCTCTGAAACTTAACTAGCTAGAGGGCAAAACTCCGGCGGGTCTCCGGTGAATTTCCTTGTTTTCCGGCTGAACTTGGGGAGGTGATAAGGAAGAAAGGTAGAGAAATGTGTTTGGTGGAGGAGGTTGTAAACGCAAATTTAAGGTGTTATATAGATAGTAACAGGGGAGGGACAGTACGTGGGGACTAATTTCTGTGGATGCATGAATTTGGGACATGTACAGCGACGCTGTCGGTTACACGAATAGCAGCTTTGAGGTGGTTGTCCCTGCAGCGAGGGGACAAGGGTGGGACAAGATCGGCCGCCCAGATGGAAGACTGAGGGGGGATGGGACGGCCGAGATGCGTTCTAGGGGTCGTCGGAGTGAAATCAGGAGCGTTGGATCACGAGGCGGAGAGAGAGGAGCAGCCCATGTGGGCGGGACCCATGTTGATGCCCTTAATGGCCGTGGCATGGCCATGTGGGGGTGAAAAAGTCGGAACCTACCTGATTTTCTTTATGAAATTGATGAGTGGATGGGAAACACATAACATGTGCTCCCTTTCCATTTATAAGCTTCTCTCTCTCCCTCTCTCTCTCTCTCTCGAAACTGAAATATCGAATGCATGTGTAGGGATTGTATATAAACATCCCTTGCAAAAACCATTGATTTAGAATCTTAGCATTTTTTTTTTGAATTAGGGTGAGCTAGCAATACCGAATTAATCAAAATTCTAAGGCTCTGTTTGCCGGTTAAATGCACTTACATGAGTAAATGTTTCCATGATCCCACTTATGTTTTTTTACTAGGAATGACCCCGTATTAAGTACGGGACCCTTAATCTGAATTATTTCAAATTTCAAATTATTTCCATTAGACATTTAGGTTAGGTTTTTTTATTTGATTTAAGAGACTTACCATGTTTTATTTAGAGAATGACCCCATATTAAGGGGCAACTATAGTATCATTTAATTTAAAATTTACTATTTAACTATAAAAAATTAAATTAGAAAATTTAACATGGTTCTTACATCTTTGTAATTAACAATCTATTTTGACCTACTTTGTTTGAAAATCACTATTAATTTATGTTGTTTTTAATATGATTTAAGAGATTAAATGAAGTCTTATTTGTAACCAGTAACCCACTTTAATTGGTATTTACTATTTATTTTTAAAATCTAAATTAGGTTACACTTTCAAAAATAGTTAAATTTAGTTTGCAATTAATAAACTATTTCATCTAAAAGAATGAAACTCACACCATTTGTATTAATTGTGTAGTCATTTTTATGAATTTCATTTATTTTTATTTTATCCATTTAATATTTTGAATAATTTTAAGTTAACTTATTTGTTTAATCATTAATTTTGAAATGGTTCTGTTTAAATAAGATTGAGTTACTACCCTAACATTTGAAGTTGCCACTTTTTTAGGGATTAGGATACTATGTGTGTGAATTTTAAGAGAGTGGAGTTATCACTTTTTTGTGAGTGGATAGATTTTTTTACGAGTAAGAGTTTAACCTCTTCTAGGATTCTATCTATTGAAATTTTACAATGCCACCAAGGGTGGGGACTGTTGCTTGAAGACATTCCTTATATATATATATAATAGATTTCCCAGGTAAATAATATAATGACTGTTTTAGCCATAAAAATTTTATTATCAAAGGGGGCATTTTTGTTCCACCAAAGTGTTGGCAACTTTTCCCCCTCTCAAAAACCAAAAAATGACCCACAATTAGGAAAATCGAAACCGGAATTCAATTATGATACTAGAAAAACTTACAACCAATCAAACAATATTATAATAGAAGTGACCAATCAAGTTCTATTCATCAAATTTATGGGGTGCTTTGATGGGTTAAATCTCTTTCGATACCATGTCTTTCCGGTATCATAATTTTTTCCCTAAAATAATTGAATTGAATTTATTATTTGGTTATTTTGGTTAAAATCAAATTTTATTATATATAAATTATATATAATAAAAAAGTCATCATATATTAATATATATATATATAAAATGAAACTAGATCAATTTTTCAAATCTATTACTTTGATTAATCAAAATTTTAATAAATTTAAAAATCAAAAGTAATTGAATTACACTAAATAAAAAAACCAAACCGAAAAAACCAAAACCAAACTTATTATAACCTAAAAGGGCGGTATCTTATTTGGTTTATGGAATGGAAGAATATGACACGTCTGATTGGCCCCACAAAAGTAGAATAAGAAAGATGATGATGTGATTTTCAATACAGATATTTATTTGTATGGACTTGCATTGGAATAGATGTGAGAATTTGGGTGTATGCAATTTACATGAATATCTCACAAAATGTCGCGAGAAAATGAAATTTCGAAGAATCTAAAAGTTTGTTAAAAATAATTGATTTCATAAGGGTATTTTCGACCACTGGCGAACACCTGGGAGAACAAAAAGCTATGGCTTTCAACTTGTTCTTTCGCCACGCGCGTTAGCGCTGTCATGCCCTGTTGGAAAACGATGGCGGAGACAAAACCTTACAGGAGTAAATCCAATGGTCCGTGTCCAAACATGGGGAAAGAGACTGTGTATGAGCACTGTATCTCAACAAACGAACAATCATGTCATGATATGTTATTTGTACCTCCATACATCATGGGATGATGGGGGAATGCGCCATTCACACGAGGCTTAGCTTGTTTGCGATGCAATTTCATTTGTATTAGTGCAAATGGATTGAGAGCAAATTGATTCACTTGTGTTTCAGGTTTTAGTTTGTTTAATGAAATATGTAAAATAAAATAAAACTTGAAACGAAAATGAACCGGAATTTGCACTCTTTTCCTTTGTAGTCATCATCTATACATTAGGTACGTAATGACCACCTTGTGTTAAGTATCGGCCAACTATGCCCATTATCAATTCGATTTGGGCTTCTTATTTAATTTAGGCCATATTTGTTGCAGTGCAATTTTAATTGAATTAGTATAAATGCATAGGAGTGCAAATGAAAAGACTGTAAATTCTGCTTTATTCTGTAAATTCTGGTTTAATTTTATTTTGGATTTTGCTTTGTTCTGCTTCAAGTTTTATTTTACATCATTTATACTAACATTGAACAAAATAAGGTAAATCTTGAAATAAAAATAAATCATAACGTGCACCGAAATAATTTGCACTACCATGACTTTGCATCAGTGTAAATAAATATGCGTTGCAACCAAAACACAACCGTAGGAAATTAAATTAGGTTTAATTTGTAATTGGTGATCTGTTTTATGTGAATGAACCAAACTCGCATCATCGAAAGTCTTTGGGGTAAATCTTTTATTTAGGCTCAGTTTTCTAAGAGTATAAATATTAATGTATAGAGTGCAAAATCTTGTATTTTGTATTATTTTGTATGTATTTGCATTCTACATATTTGCATTTGTACTCTTTCCAAGCTGACGAGCCTTAAATATGAAACTGAATTAGAATGATTAGTATGAATCTGACATTTGAAGAACAGATTATTTTTGAGAGTGGAGTTAACTATTCTCATTTTTTCTTAGAGTGGAAAGAACCACTCATTGAATACATACACTTCAAATCGACATGGGCACATGGTCTCCAACATTCTTATAACCATTAGATTGGTATCAAATGGGTTAATTCATGCCACTCCAAGAGAACAAAAGAAATATGCCTCATGTGAGGGGACCATTGGGTTCTTACTATGAAAGTCCAAGCTTGGCCTGGCTAAATTCAACTCTGGTGTTAGTAACTAAGCTTCTTAATGAATTCCTTAGATAACAATCCCAATCCCATTAATATGAATAATTAATTCTTTTATAACTACAACTTGCATAACAAAATAAAAGGATGGACCTAACTACTCCTTCATTAATTACTTTTGTGGTTCAATCAATTATTTGCTCCTCAAACTTGGTAAGCACTAAGCACACCTAACTCTTCTTAAGGTTATTTTAAACCCAACATCTCTTTTTTTTTTTTGATAATATAGATTAGTCATAGGGTGACCACCTACTCTTCTTAGTCCTTTAGTGCCTCCTATATTTTTAATTCCACAGTTCCTACTTAAATTGTGCATAAATGATTGCTTTGATAAAGAAAGAAAGAATCTTAATTCATGTGTTATTTAATTCCATGCCCACTTCCTTTCACATTTTCTATGTAAAATATGAAGTTAAAAAAAAAAAGAAAGAAAGAAAGAAAAGAAAAGGGTGAGAGAGAAGTTGTAAAGAATCTTTGAGAGATTATCAGATTTATTTATTCATAAAATCTTGTCATCGTCTTTTACACATGAAGCTGTCTTCTGAACATGTTTAATTAAGGCCATGATTAAGTAGTTCTAACATATCAAATGCAACCAACCAATTTTCATTAGCTCTCTGAGTTAAGCTTGATATTCACATGCACATACATCAACCTCATAACATTGTTCAACAAACCAACATTCTCAGGGTGGTCCATCCATTCCAAGATCTCCTGCCATGACAATAATCTCAACTACTAGCTCGATCGAAGGAGACTAAAGAAAGTTGGGTGGTCAGGAATTCACTTAGCTTCCCTATATTTATCAAGTAGGAATAAGGACCACCAATTCTGCATTAATCCCGGCCAATATAGTAGTACTTCTGTAGGGGAATTTATAGAACATTTCACCAAAATATCTCAAGCTAATTAAGGTAATTGCACCAGTTTCAGGCAGATGAACAGTGTCCTTCTAATGGGTTCTTAAAACCAGCAAGTCTATAGAATGGTGTTCAATGCACATTGATTGTTAATTGTTCAGTTTTGTGGTGTTGAATTGAGAGTTCCTCTGAGACATATATATCTATTACCGACATTTGCTTTGATCAAAGGAGCATCAAGAGACAGTGATGCATAACAAATCATCAGCTTGGGCCTGCTGTTGCCAACTCCAACCCAACATGCTTGCCACATCAGAACTATCTATCATCAGCCTTAGGTATTAATTAATTAAGTTCCCAGTTGGCTATGACATGACTGATCGGTGAAGCCTAAGCAACTCCATTAGCATGGACGGTGCAGAGTTTATTGACCAAGTTTCTTAGCCATGAGCAGTGTGGTTTAATTTGGTGGGTCTGGACTGTGATCCAAGACAGAAATACTA